TCCAGTCAATGGTAGCTTTCATGTTGCTATGACGCTGAATAAATTTCAGTGGAGCTTCCAGTCTAAGAGTAGGAAGTAAGGTGTGATGATCTGCATCTGAAAATCAGCCAATGAAACCCCTTTACACAAGAGTTCAATTGTGAGAATGGTGTAGGACCAGGCAAAGAGCACAGTGCTGCTGAGCTAGGGATCAACTCAATACCAGCCAAAAACAATAATCAAAAATAGCTTCTATTCTATCAGTATGTTATTTGAATCTCCAAAATGAAATGCTTTTATTTTCTGGCCTGTTGAAATTCCAAAACTAGTTTGATGTCAAAACAGAACTTGTTCTCATGACTCCACAATTCCTGGTGCCAAAGAAGCTGTATTAATCCCAGAAACAATTACCCTGAGATCATCCTTGAGCCTTAAACCAAACCGATACCTGAAATCTTCCTAAAGCCAAGAAATAGTTTAGGTTTTCTACTAGATACAGAATATCTGCCTTGAACATTGTGCTTTTTAAGATCTATCTAATGGGATCAAACTGACAACAGCAACTAGAAATATTAAACAGGAAACTTAGGGCAAGGGTACATGTTAATGGGAGAGGACAACTCAGAAAAGGAGAGGAGAATGTTGCACAACTGGAAGATAGTAATCAATGTCACTGAACTGCACATGTACAAACGACTGAATTGGTGTTATGTTCTGCTGTACACATTCTCAAAAACAACAAAAGTAAATTATACAAAACAAATACTCTACCCCAAGAAGTTCCAAAGTGACACACATGGGGCTGCCAGGGATCAGAACTAACTCGATGGTAAGTGATTTTTTAATATTGGACATATGAATTTAAGTCTCTTTTTAATCAAATGAGTCACTTCACTTCTCTGAACCTCAGGTCAGTTTTCTCACTTGAAAATGAGGGTGAGGTACAAAACTATACTAGATAAATTTTTTTAAAGAGAGAAAACTTTAATCAAATATTTAAAAAACGTATCAGGTAGATCAATCTGAACCATTTACTGGAGTCCTGGTGCAGCTGTAAGACAAGCACTGGACTGCTAACTGCAAAGTTGGCAGTACAAACCCAGAAGCTGCTCTAAGGGAGACAGATGAACTGCTCCATAAAGGCTGATCAGCCTCAGAAACGGTATACAGGGCAACTGTGTGTCAGAACAAACTCCATGGCAGTAGGGCTAACATTGGAATCTTTCACTTTTACAAACAACGTAAGATGCGCCACAGAATGGGTCTCAAAAATGTTGGCTTTTGTTTAGAGTGAATTTTTGTCACCAAAAAAGTTTATTAAAATTCTTCTTCTTGCAAATGTAAAGAAGCTGTATAATTAACTATATAAGGGCATTATACATGAAGAAAACAATAAGTTTATTTAAAAGAGAGGAAATCTGCCCTTGAATGTAGAATAGCTAAAGTGAGTTGAAGAAATGATGAAGTAAAAATTTAACATAAAATTTTAAGGGGCAACTGGGAAAAAAAAGAGTAAAATATTAAAATGAAAAATTTAAAGCTCTTGAGCTTAAAAACCAAAAGGGAAGAACACACTGAGCATTTCTCAAAGAATGAAGAAAAAATTCCAGCCCTGAGTTATATGTAACACTGAAGGATTCTATGGGCAAATTATTGAATGACACATCAAAAGATGGAAGAAGTACATAGAGTCACTGTACCAAAAAGAACTGGTCCACATGCAACCATTTCAGGAAGTAGAACAAGATCAAGAATTGAAGGTATTGAAAGGAGACATCCACACTGCATAAAGTCATGGGCAAAAAACAAAGCTCCAGGAATTAATGGAATACTTATTGAGATGTTTTTAAAAAACGAATGCAAGGCTAGATGTGCTCACTTGTCTATGCCAAGAAATTTGGAAGACAGCTACTTGACCAACTTACTGGAAAAGACCAATATTTGTGCCCATTCAAAAATATGGTGATCCAACCGAAGGCAGAAATTATTGAACAGTATCATTTATATCATATACAACTAAAATTGTGCTGAAGAGAATTCAAAAATGATTGCAGCAGTACAGGGAACTGTCAGAAATTCATTCCGATTCAGAAGAGGACATGGAACAAGGAATATGACTGCTGATGTCAAATAATCTTGGTCAAAAGCAGAGAATACCAAAAAGATGTTGCTGTGGACTGCATTGTGTCTCCCCCCAAATATGTGCTAGCTTGACTGGGCCGTGATTCTCAGTGGTTTGGCAGTTAGTGACAACACCCCAGGATGTGATCTGATGTGATAAATTAAAAAAAAAAAAATTAAGGTTAGAGTTCTGGTGTGCTGTAGGATAAGCACTAGACTGCTAAACATGAAGTCAGCGGCTCAAACCTGGTAACTGCTCCTTGGAAACCCTGTGAGTTGGAACCAACTCAATGATGGCACGTAAAGACAGTACCACCCCTAATCCTACTATGGGCTTGAAATTCCCAGGAGTGTGGCAGACTACACTTTCTATCTTATAAAAGGAGAGAGAAGTGAGCAGATAAAAAAGGGCTGGAGGATAGGCACTGCATTGCTAACCAGGAAGTCATCAGTTCAAACCCACCAGCCACTACCTGGAAACCATAGAGGGGCGCTGAGTCAGAACCTACTCCAGAGCACTTAATAGCATCATCACCACCACCACCAAGAAAGAACAGCCAAGAGTAGAAGGCATCTTTGGACCTGGAATACCCAACTGTGAAGTTACTAGATTCAGGGACGGACTGATGCCAAAACACAGACCTCGCTCAGGAATGCTGCGCCTACAGATGCTGAAAGCGGACAAAGACATTCACACATAGCTAGCACATTGAATTCAGACTTCTAGCTTCCCAAAGTGTGAGAGAAAAAATGTTTTGTGAATGCCATCCACTGGAAGTATTTCTATTATAGTAGCACTGGATAACTAAGACAGAAGCTTGTTGTTGTTGTTGTTAAGTGCTGTCCAGTCGGTTCCGACCCATAGCGACCCTGTACAGGGTTTCCGAGGGTGTAAATCTTTACAGGAGTAGAAAGCCTCATCTTTCTCCCGCGGAGCAGCTGGTAGTGACAGAAGCTTACCCACATTTTATTGACTATGCAAAGGAATTCAAATATGTGGATCATAACACACTATGGATAACACTGTGAAGAATGGTAATTCCAATCAGTTCATTGTGATTCATACGGAACCTGTATATAAACCAAGTGGCAGTCATTTGAACAAAAAAAGGAGATACTGCATGGTTTAAAATCAGAAAGGTGTGCACCAGGGTTGTACCTTGTCAGTATAGTTATTCTGATAATCTGAGAAACTGGACTGTCTAAAGAAAATTGCACATCAGGCCTGGAGGAATGCTCACTGACCACTTGAAATATGCAGATGACACAATCTTGCTTGCTGAAAATGAAAAGAACTTGAAGCACTTACTGATAAAGATCTAGGTCTACAGTCTCACCCTCAACATAAAAAAAAAACAAAAATCCTCTCAACTGGACCTATAAGCAGCAACATGATAAACGCAGGAGAGAACTGACGTCAAGGATTTCATTTTACTTGGATCCACACACAATGCATGGAAGTAGCAGTCTAGAAATCCAAGGACCATGTACTGCACTGCCAAAAGCAGTGGTGGAAGGGCACTTTTGCAGGGCCAGGTAGTGACCATTAGGATTAAGGACCTGGTGGGTTACTGAGTTTTGTGTGGCTAAAGGACATCACACTCATATCTTTATCTAACCCAGAGAATCCTGTGGAATCAAAAAATTCAAATCAGGACCAACTGTGTATTTACATTTTGCTGATGTCTTCAAAAGTCCAAAATATCTGGACTATCTGAGCATTGCTAGACCATTCTGTATCTAGACTGCAGCTGTACAGAGGAGAAAAGTGAACGAGTTGGGATCTCAGAAGAGTCTAAACTCGGCCTCTGGCAATCTGGTACTGGCTGTGTACCAAGGGCAAAACACTTCAACTCCATGACCCTCAGTTTCCTCATTTCTAAAATGAGAATACCATCAACCACCTCTGAGGGATATTTGAAGGTTAGGTTAGATCATACCAGGGAAAATGAGTTGCACAAGTACCATACAAACTGTCACCCACTGTTTAACAAAATCCAGCATTTATCACTACTGTTTCTGTAGTTGAATAAAAGACGCAACAGATGGGCTTAGAAGTCAGAAAGGATCTCACCAACAGCTTGCCCTGAGCAACACTTCAAAGAGCTGGTCTACTCAAAACTGATCACAAGAATTACCTCATCAACAACATTTGCCAAGTTTCAATTATTTAAAAAACACAATCTATTCTGCATAAATGCTTCTCTGGGGTTAGTACAAGTGAAGGTAAGAGGGGAGTGAAGCCTAAGATGCTCTGAAAGCCCATCACAGAGCATAAGTCCACTCCTCCCCGGGTCTCTAGCCACGTGTATATAGTGGTGGGTTTTTTGGTTTTTGTTTTTCGGTTACCCCAACCTCCAATACTTTCTCGTTCATTCGTGGAAAATTTTAGGACTTGTTCTAAGTATCTCTTTCCTCCTGAAAATTTTTAGTAATGGTTTCAAGGACTGATACTCGAAACTCTACGTCACCCCTTCGACTGAAAAGTCACCGACTGCAAACACCTCCCGATTCAGGTGAACCCCGTGAGTGCACAAGAAATTACAACCACGTACTGTGCCTTTTGGACGAGGGGGAAACTGAGGCCCGCGCCTTGGCACGGCTAGCCCAAGGTCACAGCCAGTGCGAACGGGGCAGGCAGGGTGGGTGTTTTTCCCAGGCTGTCGCAGAGGACGCGAGGGCAGCGAGTCTCCCCCGAGGAGCCGCCAGCAGAGCCGCATGCTAACACAGCAGCCGCCCGCCCGCCTCCGGGGGCGACTACTCCGAACTCGGGGCTGACTCGCCAGAGGCAGGGCAGGGATCACCTCCTCAGCCCTCCCACACGCCGCTCCAAGAGAGGAGGCCGGGCTTCCTCGGCCCACACAACCGACCCGGGACGCTGGCTCCCCGGCTTCCCTCACCAAGCAGCCGGAGGAAGATCTGGATCCCGATGCAGAACTGGCTTTGGCTGGAATCGTAGTAGGAGTTGAAGATGGCGTCGATGATGTAGAGGCAGGGCACCCGGAGCGCCACTTCGAGCGCCGCCCAGACCTGCTGAGGGGCCATCCGCACCTGCTGCTGCGGGGGCCCCACCGCCGCCATGAGCCGCTGCCGCACCGGGGCTGGGCCGGGCCGGGCAGGGCTGCGGGGGGCAGGGCCGGGGACCGCGGCCGGGGGCGGGGGCTCGGAAGGTGACTCCGCCCCCACACTCCCTCCTCTCCTGTCTCTCGCACGGCCCGCCCCGCCGCCCGCTCGCGTCCCTCTGGCTGGAGCAGGCGGCGGCGGCGGCTCCCCGGGAGGCCTCTGGGTGTCCCTGGCTAAGGTCTGGCTCCTCCTCCCTCCACCGCCTCCCCCACCCGCGAAGCCACCATCGTGACCTCGCCCGCCTGCCTGTGCGGTTGCTGCTGTTACGAGGCCCAGAGGCTATCCCCGCGGTCACGCGAGACCGCGGAGCCCGCGTCGCCGTCCACGTCATAATCCGGCGCAGTGGCGATTCCCATGTTGTCATCACGCAACGTCTCAAGGCGTTGCCATGGTTTCCCCTTAGGTCACGGCCCTCGAGGTCATTGCCGACGTTGGCGCCACCATGTGGCACGCGCTCTCTTCGCCAGCTCTGGTCTTCCGTCGAGGCATCCGCTTAATGAAGGTGAACTGAAATTAACTGCTTTACTGTTGTGTTGTTATTGTTGTTAAGTGCCGTGGAGTCGGTTCCGACTCATAAACCCTGTATAGGGTTTCTGACGAAGCCTGGTGGGTTTGAACCACTGACCTTGTTCAAACCGACCTTCTGGTCTAGTGCTAAATGTTCCATAAACATCGTTTTGACCTATTTAGGAGAAGAAAAGCCATTAGACGTTTCTCCCCAGACCTAGACCACCCCACCTGGAGGCCTGGTCTGAGAGATGGTCCAAGAGAAAGACCCGAGCAGCTGTCTGTGAGGCTAAGAGGCATCGCTGAGTGCGTTTTTTTTGAGCAGCGCTTGGCTGGGTGTGTTTGTTGTTGTTAACTGCCTTTGAGTCGATTCCGACCGATAACGACCCTGTATAGGGTTTCCAAGGAGTGACTTGTGAGCTTAAACCACCGACCTTGCAGTTCAAACGACTTTGCAGCCTGGTGCATTAACCCACAGCGACCACACCAGGACTCCGACTGGGTGTGTTGTTGTTGTTAGGTGCCATCGGTACCGACTCATAGTGACCCTTATGCACAGCAGAACGAAACACTGCCCGATCCTGGGCCAACCTCATTATTGTTGCCACGCATGAGTCCATCGATGCTGCCACTTGGCCAATCCATCTCGCTGGGGGTCTTTTTTTTTTTCTCTGACCTTACCAAACATGATATCCTTCTTCAGCAACTGGTCCCTCCTAACAATATGTCCGAAGTATGAGAGACAAAGTTTGGCCATCCTGACCTCCAAGGAGCACTCTGGCTGCACTTCTTCCAACACAGCTCTGTTGGTTCTTTTGGCAGCCCATGGCACTTTCAATATTCTCCTCCAACATCATAACTCAAAAGCATCCATTCTTCTACTGTCTTCCTTATTCACTGTCCAGCTTTCACATGCATATGAGGTTATTGAAAATACCATGGCTTGGGTCAGGCGCACCCTAGTCCTCAGGCTGACGTCTTTATTCTTCAACACTTAAAAAAGTCTTGTGCAGCAGATTTGCCCAATGCAATACGTTGTTTGATTTCTTGACTGCTGCTTCCATGAGTGTTGATAGTTAATCCAAGAAGAATGTAGTCCTTGACAACTTCGGTTTTTTCTCCGTTGATGAGAATCTTGGTCTTGTGAGGCTTTTTGTTTTCTTGACATCTTCATCAGTAAATGTTTCAAGTCCTCTTCACTTTCAGCAAGCAAGGTTGTATTATCTGCATATCACAGGTTGTTAATGAGTCTTCCTCCAATCCTGATGCCACATTTTTCTTCATAGAACCCAGCTTCTCAGATTATTTGTTTAGCATACAGGTTGAGTAAGTATGGTGAAAAAATACAACCCTGTTGTACACCTTTCTTAATTTTAAACCATTCAGTGTTCCCATGTTCTGTTCAAACAACTGCCTCGTAGTCTTAGTCACAGGGTGTTGTTGTTGTCGTCAAGTGCCATCGAGTCGATTCCAATCTGTAGCTGTATAGGGGTTTCTGTATAGGGTTTATGAGGAGCAGCTGGTGAGCTTGAAGCGACCTTGCAGTTCAAACGGCTTTGCAGACTGGCGCATTAACCCACAGTGCCACACCAGGACTCCTTAGGAGCTACTTATTAAGAGCAACATCCTTCTAACCCCTTACCAGGGCACTCTTACTACCTCCTACCCAGTTAGACACAATTGAGGACGTTCATTGGGCCATATTTCCCTAATAACAAAGGAGCCTGCTATGGCGCTGCAGGATACAGTACTGGACCTCAAGGAAGGTTTGAACCACAAGGTCAGAGGTTTAAACTCACCAGCCTGTCCTCTAAAACCCAATACAGGATTGCTTTAAGTCGGAACCGACTTGGCAGCACTTAACAACAGTGATTTCAAGACAAGAACACAGGTGTTGGCTTTGTAGGTAAGCCCTGGACTGTGCTCCACAATGTCAGTGGTTCGAGCCCACCAGCAGCTTGGAGGGAGGAAGAGGAGGCTTTCCGCTCCCACAAAAGGAACCCTGCTCAATGGCACTTAACACCAACAAATGCTGTGCAAATAATCCTTGAAGCTAGACTATATGAAGAAGGCAGTATCAGGACTGGAGGAAGGCTCATTAACGACCTGTGAAATGCACATGACACAACCTTGCTTACTGAAAGTAAGAAAGACTTAAAGCACTTGCTGATGTAGATCAAAGACCACAGCCTTTTTTATATGGATTACACCTCAGCATAAAATAAAAATCCTCACAAATGGACACACACATCATGACAAACACAGAAGATAATTGACATTGTCAAGGACTTTGTTTTACTTGGATGCACCATCAATGCCCATGGAAGCAGCAGTTAGGAAATCAAACAACAACGGACCGATCTCTGCTGCAAGAGATCACTTTAAAGTGTTAAATGTAAAGTGTTAAGATGTCACTTTAAAGACAAATCTGTGTTAGAAGTACAGCTAGAACATTGCTTAGACGCTACTATGGCAAGACTCACTTCCTTTGGCTCTGTTATCAGGAGGAACCAGTCACTTAAGAAGGACAGGGCCATGGAAGGAGAAGAAAGCCCTCAGTGAGATGGACTGATACAGTGGCTGCAGCACTGAACTCAACCACAACAACAATTATGCTGATGGGGCAGGACCGGGCAGTGCTCTGGGGTTCCTGTGAGTCAGAACTGACTTGAGGACACCTAACAACAACACGCACACACACCTAGCTGATCCCTTCCTTCCTCTAGGGCAGAGAGGCCATTCTTTACTTAGACTTACCTGTCTATCTGTGGAATTAACATGGTCTGGCCATTTCAGTCTTTCTGTTTGTTCACTATTAAATGAGTATAAATTAGGTTCAATTCTGCATTGTAGACCAGTTGTCTTAGATGAAGGAGGAGGAAACAGGAAAAAAGAAGTCTAGTTTGCCTAGACTGCATTCTACAGTCTGGTTGTTATCAACGTCCTGTAGAGGTTTGGTTCAGTTCAAATCTCAGTGGACAGGAGAAATGCCAGGAAAATGAAGAAACCCTTCCCAAGTCCCTTTCTCAGGTGGAGGTTATGTGATAGACTTATCAAGCTTTCCACCAAGCGCCTTACTCGAGTCTCCTGTTTTTAACCTTCTTTGATAATCCCCTACTATTAATGACTATCTTGTATCTAGTACTTGCTCTTTATTAGGTCTTCTGTGGAGAGTTTTACATTTTCCTTCAGTCTTTCTATTAGCACTAAAGCTATTATCCCTGTTTTATGGAGGAGGAAACTGAGACTAAAATCAAGATCACAGAACTACTAACTAGTAGGTTGCGATTGTCTCTGTCCAGAGTTAGTAAGAGTCACAGCAGGATTTGAATCCACGATTCCCTGAAGCTCAAAAGTTGAGGTATCCATTTCCATCCTCTTTTCACCCACAGCCAGACTGCATCCAGTTCCTAGCCATTCTTTCTCCAGTTTCTTCTAGCTGTCTCCTTTGTGTTGTCCCTGCTCCATTTTAACTCAAGATCCTACTGTAGGTTGCCTGGTTTACTGCAATTTATCCTCATTATTACCACCACCTTTGATAATCCACTCTGTTTACCACTAGCAGGCTAATTTTCCTAAAGTGCACATCTGGGGAATAAACTTGTGGTGATGACAAAATCCCCAAAGGGAAGCAAATTTGGTCAATGGGGAGGACTAATGAAGACTTATATAGAGAACCTCAGAGATGTAAATTAGGTATTCATCTCACCTGTTATTCTTCCCTAATTGCAATTTAAAGCAAAAAGAGAGAGAGAGAAAGAGGCCATGATGGAGACAAGGGTCCACAAGGACTAATCTAAAAGGAGACTCCGTAGAGGAGACAAGAGGTGCATTCCATTGGATCGTGACCAGGTGAAATAGATACTAAGACAACTCATGGGTTTTCTTGAAAAAGTGTAATGTAGTTAGCAGTAAATAAAAGGCTTTACAAATCCAATGCCTTGGGCCTTAACTAATTTTTTAACTGTTTCTAGTATTTATTTGATGCACACATTTTTAGAAGAGTTTCAGACTCAGACTAAATTTCATTCTGGGCCAAGAGCTTTCTGTAGTAGTAAGTTTCTTAAAGACTCTGTGCCTCTATAAAGGGAAGGTTTGAATAGGGTCATGGTAGATAGGGTGTACAAAGGAGCAAGTACTTTTTGTTACCATTTAAAAATTAAATACATTAATAGGGTAGATTGTGGAATGACTAGGACTTTTTAATATAAAAGATTAAAATAACTTCAATTGACAATATTTGTTTATTTTCTACATTGACTTTAATGTTGAACTCACTGTGTATTTATATTGAGTTTACCTAGAACATTGTGTGTATGTGTATGTGTCTACAGAGACGCACAAACTGTACAGATTACCTGTATTCAAAACTACCAGTCTTCACATTTGACTTTATGGTTTAAAAGGTTTTTTACCAGTTGAAGTTTTGTAACAAAAGGAGAGGAATGGTT